TGAGTCTGGATGACTCTTAACCTTCACCAGTTATGATACTGATGTAGAAACTGTACTTAGATCTTTCGTGGACGGAATCTGGAGAGATGTCACACGTTAAAAACCAAGAAAACCAGGCTTTGAACCAAAGATGTGCAAAGGTCTTAAGTAACTCATTTACACACACACACACACACACACACACACACACACACACACACACACAGGCACTCATGCACCCTCTATCATGTAAGAAGGGAATATCCTAGTAAATATTTTCTTTGTATGACACAAATGAAGCCACTATCCTCCACAGCATGATGACCTCCGACTTGTCTTTATAGGGACTTTTAAAAGACAGATGTTGTAGGCAGCCCCAGCAGGAGGAGCCTGCATCATAGCCAATAATTCTGTCTTGTAAGGTAGAGGGAGTGAGGGCAGAGGGAAGGAGGTTGGAGCAGAGGAGAGAGAAATTCCGTTTGTGGCGCAATGAGCCTCTTGCAGTAATGGTGACTACATGGGACGGAGTGAAAGGTCCTGAAATCTGAGCTCTGAACCAACTTTCCCACTAAGCCTTGGTGAAACATCTACTTCCCACCAGTGTTTGCTGGAGAGACTTTTCTATGGGAAGGATATGGGAACCCTTGGAGCTCCATATGGAGTGAGGTAAAAGCTTGCCATAGGACACTGTTTTGTTAGTCTCTTAGTTTGGTTTAGACCCCAAAAGGGAGCCATTGACTTTTACCATAAGCAGAACTCAAAGGAAAAAAATGAACCAACATCAGCCACCATAGGATGAACCTCCAGCAGGGCTTTTGATAATGAGCCAGAAACAGTACAGTTACTGGTTACTTAGAGTCAAACATGGACAAGTTCTTTATAAACCTTAAACTAGAACGTAACCTACCATGCTATCACAACCACAACCACAGGAACTCTGCTGACAGATCTGTAAAGATTCCCCTTTGAAATCACAGTGGTCCCGTGTAGATTGCCTCCGCAGTGAAATCCTCCCTCCTGGCTGAAGGAATCATCGGTTGTTATGGTAACAAGAGCTCACTGCAGCAAGCAGCAGAAAATCATTTTTCATCCCCAGCAAGATGCCTTCCCCCTTCAAAAAGAATGCTACATTTAATCAGGCTAAATAACAAAAGTCCTAATTATGGACACTTCTGTATTCACAGATTCATTCTTTACAAAACCATCTCCAAATTCCACCTCAGCACCCAATTGCATCCACCTACCCTTTCTCTGGGAACTGACTTTGACAGTGATACTGTCATTTCCAGTTCTTCACAGATGTCCACAGGTAGCCAAAGGCCAGGTCAGCCCCAGTAACCACCATTACGATTTGTTCATATACTCTCTAACTCCAATTGCAAACAATCTCGATGGGATTCCTACCCTCAAGAAACTGAACACATCCTCTTGGAACTGACTCTCCTCCCTGCATTGTCCGTTTCATTCCAGAGCAAGGCCACATTTCCTAGAAGTTGCAGATTCATAATTCTGGGGACCACTTCTATAGACTATTTCTATTTGTGTATACACAGTGATTTAAATGGAGACATGGGTTGGGGGACTGGAGTAGAAGAGAAAGAAAACTAAGCATGGCTATAGAGCAAGATATGAGGTAAGAGTGCCCGTGAGAGACGAAGAAGAAAGGCTCGAGCTGCAAGGCGTGAATCACCACCCACCTGAGTCATGGTGACATGCCCACTTTGCTTCAGGAGTGATGGACTCTTGAAACAGATCCATATAAGTACATCTTGTATTTTGGCCATGGTCATTCCCTCCCACCCTTCCCTTCTCAACTCACACTGTTTTCACTCGTTCTCACAATCTGGCTTGTACTTTCGTGTGCTCTACACATAAATGATTTTATGTATCTCCATAAAATTTAAAATCCACAAATGAAGGGAAAACATGCAATATTTATCTTTCTGAGTTATTTTGCTTACAGAATGATCTTCCCTTGCATCTGCTTTCCTACAAGCAACATAGTTTTGTCCTGCTTTATGGCTGAGTATAGCTCCATTGTAACTATCTATATCATATTGTCACTATACATCTGAAGACAGACACTGAGGCTAATTCTACAACCTGGCTACTTTGAACAGTTCCATAGTAAACACAGATGTACATGTATTTCTGACATATCTCAATAGAGAACCTGCAGGAAAGTACTCAGGAGTGTTAGAGCTGGGTCATTTGGTAATCTTACTTTCAGTTTTTGAGGCACCTCCACAATGATTTTCACAGCGACTGGACTTACATCCCCACCAGCGTGTATAAAGTGTTCCCCTTGCCCCACAGCTTCACCAAGATATGTAACCATTATGCCTGGTGTGAGATGGATTCTCAATATTGTCTTATGTTCCATTTCCCCAATAGTTAAGGATGTTGACTTTTTCATATGCTTACTGGTCATTTGTATCTGTTTATTTTACTAGCCCATTTATTGACTGATTGGTTTCTTGGTAGTTGGTCTTTTAGTTTCCTTATATATTTTAGATAACAGTCCTTTGTTAGATGTGTAGCTAGCAAAGATTCTATCCATTCTGTAGGCTGACACTTCACTGGATGTGTTACTTCCTTTGATGTTCCTCTCAATTCTATGCAATCTCCAAGGAACCCATTTTTCTTCTCCACGTGTTCTGTTCTGCTGATCCAAAAGCCTCTGAATTATTAAGATACATTGATTGCTGCTGTCATCTCAAAGGGAATAAAAATGGTTTATTCTGGAGCCAATTATGAGTGGCTCTGGTCATGAATATGAATTTAAATATTTGCCTCAAACTCTATGTTCTAATACAGTAATAGATTTATGACAGTTTTAGTTGCAGAACAAAAAGAAGTCATAAATTTAGGAACTTGCAAATACTTTGTTGGAAACAACTGGTACACAGGTTACAAAGTACTAACATCCCTGCTATAGGTTTCAGAGAGTACCTGATGACATTCTTGATTTTGAGTGGTGAAAGCGAGTGGTCTATTAAAACATTCCACAAGGTTCCACATGATGATCACAAAGATGTTAGGTCAGACACAGAAGTGGACAATGAATGGGTATTGTGGTAGTTTGAATGCTTTTGACCCCCACAAGCTCATAGGGAGTGGCACTTCCTTCCTTCCTTCCTTCCTTCCTTCCTTCCTTCCTTCCTTTCTTTCTTTCTTTCTTTCTTTCTTTCTTTCTTCCTTCCTTCCTTCCTTCCTTTCTCTTTCTTCCTTTCTTCCTTCCTGCCTTCCTTCCTTCCTTCTTTTGAGACAGGGTTTTTCTGTGTAGCTTTGTAGACCAGGTTGGCCTCAAACTCACAGAGATCTGCCTGCCTCTGCCTCCCAAGTGCTGGGATCAAAGGCTTGTGCCAGCACCTCCCAGTGGGAGTGCCACTATTAGGAGGTGTGGTCTTGTTGGAGGAAGCTGGATGACATGTACCTTTAATCCAGACCTGGAGGCTGGCAGGCACACCTATAACCTTGGCTACACCTTTTGCTGGAAAGTGTATCACTGTGGGGGCAGGATTTGAGTTCTTTTTCTCAAGCTTCACTCAGTGTGAAAGTCAGTCAACTTCCTGTTGCCTGTGAGTCAAGATGTAAGGACTCTCAGCTTCAGCACCATGTCTGTCTGAATGCCACTGTGCTTCCTGCCATGACGGTAATTGACTGAACCTCTAGAACTGTAAGTGAGCCACTGCAATGAAATGTTGTCTTTATAAGAGCTTCTGTGGTCATGGTGTCTCTTCACAGTAATAGAAACCTAAGACAGGTTTTATGGGGGGCTAAAGATAATTTGACTATTGATCCAAACTTATGAATTTCTAAACAACCAGTTCTGTGGGATCTTCAATATAGGTATGACATTTTTGCTGGGAACTTCAGTTTGCATACTTTTTTTGTTTTGTTTTTGGTTTTTCAAGACAGGGTTTCTCTGTATAGCTTTGGAAACTATCTTGGCACTCACTCTGTAGACCAGACTGGCCTTGAACTCACAGAGATCCACCCGCCTCTGCCTCCTAAGGGTTGGGATTAAAAGTGTGTGCCACCAATGCCCAGCAAATTCATATTCTTTGAAATGTTGGGGATTTCATATCGTTCACCCTACACAGCAATGTTTACAGAAACTTCGCGATACACACGAGTGTGATGGTGGCCCCTCCTAGCATCATACTCCATTCTCCAACTAGTTTCTATACCCTCTCATTTTATAGTTACAATCAAAAGAACTTTTCTTTTCTCAAACATTGAAAACAGAGAGCCCCTTGTAGAATATAACCCTGTTCAGAAAATATACAAATATTCACGTATGTGTGTATGTGTGTATGTATGTGTGTGTATGTATGTTTGTATGTATGTATGTGTGTATGCATGTATGTATGTAATGACACTGAGGCTTGACTGTGAGGGGAACTGCTATTGCATGATGGAAGGGGAAGAATTTGTCTGTGAGAGGAGAACTAGGATCCTGAAAGACAGGGTCTCCAAAACACTGCTGAAGGGAGCGGAGTCAAAATTACTGGATTTAAGTGGCTCTCTCTTTTCTTTTCAATCTGTTTTGTGGATTTTATGTGTGCCCGTATTTGACAAGCAGAGGAATCATTGTGCCTATTTCCAGATTGACGCATAGTCAACCTGATCCGTGAACTAACAAAGGAATTGGGATGGAAAGATAGAGTGATTTACAGCAGGTAGACATGCTCCCATTCTTACATGGCTCTCGACCCACATTTACAACATGCTGAAATGTTTATACATGTCTACATAAACCAGCAAGGGAGCAGGAGGGCGGGCCCAGCTGTCACCTAGCTTACCTTTCATTCAGGTTATATTGTTTAGTAAAATACCTTTAATACTCTCTGACCCAACTGAGAACATAAAAAGAAGTAATTCTGAATGAATGTGGAAACGGACACTCCTCAGAGATTGTAATTACAATCATAAAAAATATTCAATAGGAATAAAAATGACCCGAAAGGAGTACACCAAAAAAAAAAAAAAAGAGCCAACTGTTTGATAGAGGATTATGGGTAACTTCCTATTTTATTTTTTTGGAGACATTGTATAAGGCAGTTATATTAGTTTACTTTCAAATTTATTTGTTTACAATATTGTGATTTGAACTTGGGACATTGCACATGCAAAGCTATATATTACCAGCCTAGTTAATTTTTTTTAAAAGGTAAGTTTTAAAAGATATTTGTCAATGAGAAGAACTATTAATGAGGGAATGTAACACTCAAAAACTAGAATAAAAGTAGCACTTTAATGTGTCTGCAGAAATGTAAAATAGAAATATGTCCAGGTACAATGACGCATGTACCATAGAGGCAGAGGCAAGAGTATCTCTGTGAGTTCTGGGCCAGCCTGGTCCTTATGGTGGGTTTTAGGTCAGTCAGGGAGGGCTACATAGTGAGGCAAAATGACTACAGTCTAATTCAACTGGGAAGCAGACTCCAAGAGAGTGGGTTGAGACTACCATGGAGCATCCTTGATGGGAGGACAGAAATCAGGACTACACAGAGTTACTCCTTATGGCATGGAACACTCTCTAGTAACCCTAAGCTAGTCAGCCTCAGGGTACAGCCACACAGGGAGAAGAGGCAGCTATCCTCCTGGGGGAGCTGCCCTTCCTTCTGCAGCGGCTAACCCTCTAACAGGAAACCTGACAAGACTCCTGTAGCTGAGGCAATGGGTACTTCTTGAAAATAGATCTAAGTCCTGTGTGTCCATATCTGGGATAAATATGCAAATGGTATGTAAAGAATGACAAGGTAAAATGTCATCCAAAACCTGTTTTAGAATACTTCTAATTTTGCTGCATCTCTTTGTTTCTGTAAAATGAAGTTTCTAATCTCACAGCACTGTTGTGAGGGTTAAAGGAGACAATGGGAAACAATAGTGCTGTCACAAAGAAGTACTCAGTGGTATTGCCATTCTTCGCTTTCATTTCCTAACTTGCACGCTTCTGAAGAACTGGACTAGTCTCTCCATTAGTATGCACAGTTACTTCCTCCCACCCCAGCACCAGCCCTTGTATTCCTGCTGGCACTTGAAGTCATACAAGGACGGAGTGCTGGGATCTGCTGTTTTGTGAACCTGTCATGACAACCAAAATGACAGAACAACTCTGTAAGGAAGATGGAGCATGGAGATGCCAAGGGACCATGAGACTTCTTGATAAGTAAGCTGTATCTTCATGCTCTAAGCCTCTCATGGCCCTGGCTACTAGAGGCCACGGATGCTGTCGGTGGCCACGGATGCTGTCAGTGGCCACGGATGCTGTCGGTGGCCACGGATGCTGTTGGTGGCCACGGATGCTGTCGGTGGCCACGGATGCTGTTGGTGGCCACGGATGCTGTCGGTGGCCATGGATGCTGTTGGTGGCACTGACTGGCATCAGTGATGGGCGAGATAGAAGGATGACTGGGAAGGAAGTGCTGAGAAAAGCAGGTAAATTAGCTTGAGTTCTGTAAGGTACAGAGGCTGTGTAAATTTGAGAACATGCATCACTAATGATGAAGTCAATCTGATGGTGTCTTCTGTCAAGCGATTTCACAGTTTAATCTTCAGGTTATTTCCCTTTCTGTGAAACAAAGGAAATGAATCTCTCTTTTGTTTCAAAGCTATCTGGAGCAGGACTGTGGGGAAAGGAAAGGATTCTAATGAGATTTCTTATTTACTCCTGTCTACCCAGGTAGGTGACTGTTAAAAAATGAACAACAACCAAATAGCACCTTAATTTAGTGAACTATGGCTCCCACAACTTCTGCAAGAAAACATGTACTCTGAAAATCTCCAGTATTCCCTGTAAGTCAAAATGTAAACTATTTTTCTCTTTTAACATTTAGTAAGTAGGATCCCTGTCGAGCCATGGAAAGACAAATTGATCTGTATTTCCAATCAGAGCTGTGTGAAGTGACCTACCCACTGACTGGCTCCAGATTACAGGGACAGAAATGTAGTGGCAAATATGAACATCGCTTTCTGGGATTCTCCCAGTGGGAACTGGAGGTAGAAATGAATGAGCAGCAACCTCAAACTTTTGTTCTTTGTCTTAGTTCTCAGTGATGGTATACGTGGAAGGTAAATCTCAGCTATCGGTTGTTATATCGTATAAAAAAATGAGCAGTTGCAGAAATAAGAGTTTGCCAGATTCTCACTGTAGGTGCATTTGGAGAACTATAGGGCTTTGCACTATACTTTAGGACATCTGACACCTGGCTTGGCTTCTAAGAATCGGCAGACCCAGGTCTGGAAAGCTAGAGATCATGCTGCTTGTACCACAAACACAGCAAGGGACACAGGGTTGGATCTCCAAGGTATGCCTGTGGTGGTATCTTGTTTGTATTCTAACAAATAAAACTTGCATGAAGATGAGAGGGCAGAGCTATCCACTAGTTAACCATAGAGGTTTGGACCGGAAGTGACATGGTTGGGCAGAGAGGGTAATGTAAGGCAGGGTGAGACAGGAGCTTACTCTCTTTTTGGCCGAGAAGTTGGCAAGGTAAGGTGTGACTGTAGCTTGCTTCTTTGTCTCTCTGATATTTCAGCATTTACCCCAGTATCTGACTCTGGGTTTTTATTGTTAAGATCAATTAAAACTCGTGCTACATTTGCCTTAATCAGAGAGCTGCCAATCCCAGGAGGCATCTAAAATGCAATATGGCAACAACAATCAAAACACTGTCTTCCCTCTTATCACCACAACCATCAGGCTTTACAAGGAGGGGTGAAGACAGTCTGTTCTAGAGAGCACAGCTTCTGCCCTCTGCTCAGGTGGCCTGCCATATTTTCTGAGGCCTGTGACATCTCTCTGGATTCAGGTACCTCTTGGAACAATGAATCTAGTCAGTGACAGCTGGTATCAACATACACAGTTGGGGGGAGTTGTGAGTTACTACGTTTTCTTCCAATTTTGCCAGTCCTTGGGTTACTTCAAAAACTGTGTCTTAAGTCAAGGTTCCTTTAAATGTCTCTGTCAATGTCAGAGTCTTTGTAAGCAACTATTTTAAGGTAATCTTTTAAAGCACATTTAAACCCTTATGGATCTGTGATTTAAACTGTGTGTGTATAAAAACTTTACATATCATGCAAAAGTTGTGGAGTTAAAGGCATATAGGTTCAACACATGCAAAGTAATCCAAAACACCCTCTTTGATCCAATAGGCATTGTATCTGGACTCTTGACATAGAAAACCACCAAGGAAATTCTCTTGGCATTTCTGCTATTTGTAATCAGCATCATTCATTATTCAAATGAGAAACCTGCCATGTGGGCAGTCCTGCCGTGTGAAATCCTGCTCTACATCTATTACTAAGATTGAAGAAGTATTTTGCCTTTGTCCATAACGAGATGGGCTTGTGTCAGAAAGTGAGTCTCTTTATGGTAACTAGCTACCATTCCGTAGCTTTGCAGGAGAGCTTCAGTTTCCCCCCCCCTTAAGTGCTATAGATCATTGTTATAATAAGCTTAAGAGTCAAATTTTCAAATAAAAGTAGAAGCTAAGGTACGGTGTGAAGGACTTCAGTGCATTTCTGCTGTGGAGTGCAGCTAGTTGTTATTGGTTTCTTCATATGGACCATGCATGTGTGTCCTCTATGTATTACACAGACATTCTCCTTACAAGAACACTTTGCCAAGCTGATATCATACCAAGTAGAATTGTCCCTGCTGCCAACCCTTCCAAGACCTGTGTTCATGTGATCCTAACTGTATCATGATTATTCCCTTCGAGAAAAGATGATCAGACTTGTCGTAATACTGCACACTCCAAGTCATGCTTGCTAATAATTAAAAGATGCTGGACTCTGGCTGAGCCTAGCTTGCCAGAGCCGAAGCTCTGATCCCACTAGCTCTGCTAACCCAGCCACCCGTGCACTTGTTAGTAAACTCCTCGTTTCTTTGCTCTGCCATCGGTGCCCATATGGAGAGAACAGGTATGTATTTACATCTTTTCAGGAAAAGTAATGCCACCCCAGATACTTCTCCTGTCTGCCTCTTGGCATCATGCCCCTCTCTGTATACAAACTGCTGATGCCTTCTTGTAGTTACACCACCAGGAAGAGTCGGTTGCTTAGATCTGTGGACTGCTCTGCACACCATCCATCAGCAAATGCAGCAGTCTTTTCCTGATCTTGCTAATAGTTGTCTATTCTCAGAGACTTTGAGTCACTTGTGGAAAAAAAAACCATATGAGCTTTATTGATTTTTCTTCCTCCACAGTGGCTGGGCCCTATCTCTAGGGCATAGTAATTCTGGAGATTTCCTAGGCCTCTGATGCTTATATAAGATGACTGTTCCTTTATTCCTGCTCTGAAGAACATTGTTCTCATTAACATCCCATAAGAAATTAAGCATATCTGTACCCCAGGTTCTGTAGCTTCCAGGGGAAACAGAAAGGTTTGCAACTAACCCATTTAGAAATGATTTGAAGCTTCTACTGAGATAATGTGACTATCTCAAATATTCAATAATTACCTGAATCTCTTGCACAGACTACAGAGTCATCCCAGTCACATGGCTTTCACTGTGTGCATGTGACAGCAAGGAGGATTCATTAATCCTTTTAGGCAGGGTTACTTACCCAACTGTATATGACTTGTAATTCAGAGACCTTCATTCCCAGGATAAGCTTACTTTTTGCATCTTTCTGTTTTGTTGTAAATGCTGCCCTTGGGAGGATGCTCTTTTAGCCTAGCAATTGTGAAGTAATTGTAAGGCAGCTGTTTTGTTTGTCCATATGTGGAAGTCTTTGGTTCCTAGGTAGGCTGGCTGAGTTAAGATACAGGCCGATGAGTCGGTGGGGAAGGATGACTCAGATCCAGGTGCTGCTCACTGGCATAAGCAATTCCTGGCAGAGAGGCGAAAGCCCTGGTCCTCCCACTTACCAAGTGTCTGAGAGGCATCTAAAGGTCAGCCAGCTGTTCCGTGCTAATTCATCTATATATTTAATAGACATTTGTAAGAACATTACTTTGTATGCAGGCATCACTCTCATCACTTCGCAAAGACTTCCTGGCATAGTTCTCATCATCACCTGTTTGCACAGACAAACTTGCCTAAGTTCACCCATGTAGGAGGCAGTAGCCATGAACCTACCCTCTCTCCTCCTACCCTCTCTCCTCCTACCCTCTCTCCTCCTACCCTATGCTGCTTCCAGGCAAAGCCCTCAAGGCACAGCGGGTCATGCCATGGACCATGGCAGAGTCTGGGAGGATGAACAGCACAAAAGGTGTGTGGAGGGGGTTCAAGAGCGGGTTGTAGGCAACCTATCAGATGAGGAATGATGTTCCGAACCAGAGGTGGCTCCTGATGTGGTACATGCTGGGCGTCTCTTCTTATTTTGAACTTAGGATGTAATAAGTGTATAGCTAAATTTGTTCTTTTAAGTAAAGAACCTATTTGCTCAGTCTTCATGCATTTTGTCAGTTAGTTGTTCAACAAACATGTCTTTTTTAATTGAATGTCATATAATTCAGTTTGACTATGTTTCCCCCTCCAACTCCTCCTCCTAGATCCTCCCCACCTCCCTACCCATCCAACTTTGTTCTTTCTCTCCCTCCCTCCCCCTCCCTCTCTGTCTCTCTCCCTCCTCCATACCTCAAGACAAAACAAAACTCCAAATCAAAACAGGCAAAGACCAATAAGACAAAAATATTACAGAAAAAAGCAAAGGGAAACAAAAATTCCACAACACCCTTGAGTTCATTTTGTGTTGACTACTCCTTGGCACGGGGCCTGCCTTGTACTATGGGTTGATATACCCTGTGAAACTCCATTGGAGAAAACTGATTTTTCCTTTGCTAACAGCTTATCAATTGCAGATGGCTTCTTGGCCAGGGGTGGGAGCCTGTGCCCCTCACAGTGTTGGGTTCCTGTCTGGCTTGACCCTGTATTATTCCTGTGTGACAACACACATAAATGTGTCAAATATACCAGCAACTCTGCTGGAATGCTAGGTATGATAATATTTTGTTTATGATCTAACAAATAAAGCTTGCTTGAAGATAAGAGTGAAAAACTAGTCACACTATTTGGTCAGGCAGTCATGGCATACACCTTTAATCACAGCACTGTGGAGGCAGAAGCAGATGGATTTCTGTTAGATCAACGCCACCCTAGGCTACACAAAATTGATCTAGTTTAAAAGAGAAAGAGTTCACTCAAAAGTGATCTCAGCACTAGGGATTCCATGACTTTAATCCCAGCACTAGAGAGGAATATAAAGCAGGAGGAGACAGGAACTCAATGCAGTCTGGAGAAGCAGTCTGAGGACAGGATCGCCCCTTGGGTCTGAGCATTGGTAGAGGTGAGAACTCTCTAGTGACTGATTGCTTTGCATCTCTGATCTTCAGCTTTAACCCCAATATCTGTCTCTGGGTTTTTATTATTAACAATAATTAGAGTTCATGCAACAGCTAAGGGAGCAAACATCAATAAATCACAGACTAACAGATTCAAAGTCTAATAATATCCCTAATGAAAATTGTTCTTTCTGAGCAGTACAGTGAATAATTTTTAATTTAGCTTTTGTGATGGTTAGTGTTGACTTGCCACTTTCACAGAATCTAGAATCAACTGGG